CGAAAAAAAGCGAAAAAGATTTTCGTTTTTTTTCATAAATGGCTTATTTTTCGTAAAAAGGAAGTGCTGAGTACTATTTTTTTCGTTCATGAAAGATCAAATCACATGTTATCTTCCTATGCATTTATCTTAATTTCGATCATTCTGACGAAAAATGATTTTTCTTTTGGAAGCGGAGGGGGGGAGGGGAGGAAGGGGCTTAAATGAATACTATGATAAGTTAGATGTTCAAATACAAACATTACTACGGCAGGAATAGCTTGTTTCAATAATATGAAGAAGATGGGTAAGCTCTTCGTATCGATCTCGTCTATAAAACAATGTTCTGATAGCCACATCATTATAAATTGAGTTACAATAAACTTAACTGGTGAAGGAATGACTTCACGTGATAAAAAGCTTTTGAGATCAAACTTATTTTATTAGATAAAGCCTATTGAGACTAGACAATATGTAGAGTTACTTATCTAATTACATCTTTCTTCTCGAATTACATTAAGTTTATCAAACTATGCTCAATATCATAAAAAAATGATGAAAAATTTAGCGTTAGTCTTTTTATTTGAAGTTTTACCCGCAAAAAGCTCTGTGTTACGACGATGTGCCGAAGATCTCGCAAAAAAATTAATGTTTCTACCTTACGATATAAAATTCGTAAAAACATTTGGTTTTTTTGGGCTTTGTCCAATAGAAATTCAATTGGCAAAGAAACTAATATCTCGATAAGAGAAAATATATTTCCTTTCAGTCATGTGGTATATAGTAGCAATACTGAGACCTATGAGAGCAAAACTTCAAATAAAAAGTTCAACGTTACATATTTTATGATGCATCTTGATATCGGACAAAGCTTAATAAGCTTTATGCTATTTGAAAAGAAAGAAACAATGAAATGATCAATTCTAGACATCGTCTGGTCTGAATAGATTCTACTATAATAACAACAGTCACATCTGAAAAGATTTTTATGACGTGAAACAATTCTGCCATGATATTATCAATCAATACATTATGTTGAAAACAAAGATTTTAATTTTGTTTAAATCAATCTCAATACTGGATTATAATCAGTTTAGAAACAGTTTTCATGGATTACAATCAAAACTATAATCAAAATTGTGTGCGGCCAAATTAGAATTAAAATCAATTAAATGTTTTCTAAATTTTATTTTATGAATTTAACGTTGGTTCATTTTGGTCGAAATAGGTTTTCAAAGCTTCAAATAATTTATATAGAGTTTTTCATGATATAATTTCAATAAGTCGTTGTCCTCTAACATTTGTTTTCGTATTAATTGATGAACTGGAATCATTATCAATACTACGTACATCATCGTTATAATTTGAATATGAGAAATTAAAAAATAATTTAATAATCAATGAAATTTTTCCTTTTAAACAAATCTTTCTTGAACATAATAATTTTAATCATGTCATTCTGATGAATCCTAAAGAAACGTTTATTTAGCATAATAGACTAATTTGATTATGAGAACTTTTGTCGAAATCAAATAAAAGTGATGAAGTAAAGTTTAGTTCGAAATTATAAAAGATATATTTCCTTAAATTGCGTTTTTGTTTTTGTTTATCCAATATTTCATCAAATAGTCAGTCTAATATTTTCATGTTGTTCTTTATTCTTAGTAGGAAAACGTTTACACAGAATATATGATTCATTCATACTGTTTTATCTATTCTGTTCGAATCATTTGTTTTTTGGACGTGTATCGAAACTTTTAGAAAGAGGTCATTTGCTCACATTTCTTTCGTTTTATTTCGTTCATCGTGGAGGAATAGTAATAATTAGAGATAATCTTCGAAACATAACGAAAAACAAGCCTATCATTTCGTAAACATGCGTGCATATAAAGAAATATACTACTGACTATAAGAGAAGAGAGAAAACAAATAACAATGATTGTTTGTTTTTTCTTTTACTATCTTTATCATTTTACTTCATTGGGAAAGTGAAATGCAAGATACGTAATACATATTATTTTCAGATTTAACGTATATTCTGTATCGAAAAACGTATGGCTGAAAAAAAATCATTGGTAAGATTGTCTGTTGTGTTCTGTTCAACAAGGAAAAACAATGACATTGCATACTGGAGAGAAGAAGGAAGAAAGAAAGAGAATATCATTGAGGTCAATAGGTTAAATAAGAGCATAGAATATTGATTGAACTGAGGTCGAATTGATAACACAATAGACATGGCTATCTTGTTTTTTATCGTAAAACTTGCCATTTACTTTGTAAATTATTTAATATAATTCGATATTATTCTTTACATAGGTTGACAAAGAAGTTTATTCGAAAGTGTTAAATACCATTCGAACAATTTCTTCGATTATCTTATGTGATAATGGAAAAATAAAGTTGGATGATGCTGCTCATATATTACAATCAGCATTACATGTTTTAAAGTATCAAAATTATGTGAGTTCCTTTCGTTTTTTCTTTTTAAATTAATATACTTTAACATGTTATTACAGATCCAGGATGGTCGACGATTAGCTGAAATGTGTGTCGACACCAACTTGCTTAATGACACCTTCGACAACATCGACCAACTGATTGATCGTTTATGCCAAGTATGTTTGAATGTTTTTCTGAAAGCTTGAAGAGACCATTTTTTTTAATGATTATACATATTATTCTAGAAACGGTCTGCAAAAAGTATCTTCGATCAGTTACCTAAATGAAAATACGAACAACAGCCACACGCAATAATAACCATAAAAAACAATTTTTTTTGTACAAGTGTGCGTTTTGTGGCATTTATGCTTTGGTTTCATTTAATCCAGTTTATTTTATTGAACATCAACAAGAAGGATTCATGTATTAGATATAAATAAAAAAAGTTAGATAGTGAAAGATAGCTCAGTCGAAATAAAATAATTTTTAAATATCTCAAACTACTTTAACCCAATTGTATACGAAGTTTTTCTTATGATCGACAATTGTTGAAAAGAAGTATTAATATGTAAATCAATGAAAAATTCATCCACAGGTCCATTAAATAGTGTTAAGTCAGACAAAATCATTGATTGAATCATGTACATTGATACTATCGATAATGAAATTGAACGATAAGACATTTTAATCCTAAGTTTTTGTTAACATTTATAGAATATTAATTTATTAATCACAATGTCAAAATTACCCAGATGAAGAACAAATCCACATATATATAAGAAGTATTAAGAATATTGTTGGAAGTCGATTGAATGACGCCTATCTTATATATTTGATTGGAATATTTTCTTTGGCTTGTTGTCATTGTTCATTCTATAAAATTATGCTGCCTAAAAAAGATAATGAGAAAAAATACAATAGACGAGCGAAGTGAGGAGTTAATAATTGGTGATAAATTAATTGATTTAAACGAATAAAAGAGACTTATCAGTGCAGCTCTTTGTTGTGCTAAAATGTGTAGCTCAGATCTCTTTTTTCTTTATAGAATTCTGTATTTTGTTCCAGTATGATAGAGATAGTTCGTAGTAAATGGATTATAACTTATTATGATAGAATTCAGTAGCAACATTTAAGCACTTGTCTATGCTCTTGCTAACGTATTTAGAGATTCTACATGAGGTATGATTTGTCAAAGTTTAAATAATTTTTATAATATTTGACTTGAAAGGTTGGTTTTATTAATAGTTGATGCATTGAATAGTGTAAGAACATTGAACATGCTTATTAGCAAGATTAATTAAAAAGTTTCAAATAGAAAAAACAACCAGTACCTAAATCCATCAGCGAAACAAAGTCATAATCTTAAATTCAAAAATAAGAAACAAAAAATACAGGATTTTCAAAAGTATGAAATCCAATAAACTTTCAGTTATCGACCGTCAAGCATACGGAGTCTTTTGAAATACATCAATTTTTGCATAAACGATTATTATTGAGTTATATAAGTTTGTTTGATGCAAATAGGAATCATTTATTAGATATTGATCAACAATACCTTAACGATGGCTTTATTGTACTTGTTTTATGACATCGTATTCTGAGAATCGGTTCACTATGGCATTAAATATTGATGAATTATATCACGATGTAGTTGAATGAGAATTTTATATCGAAAATGCCAAGAATTCAATCCATCAAATGATTATTATCATTGTCCATTTGCATATTATAGACATAGATTAACAGTTTCTTGGATACCAGATGATTTAATATCGAGTTCTATAGAACAAAGAGCAATCGCAGTAAATCCATATTTTTATGAATATTATACCTTATTCGTGGTCGTCTGGCTGCAATAAAAGAACAAGCAGTTCACTTTCATGCTGATACAAACGTAATCATTGGTGATATATTATCGTTCGCAAGATGTTGTAGATTTCTAGCATTTGCATAGGACAAAACATTGAAAAATAATGAGATTCGTACTATCACTCCTTAGAAATTACAAAGGTCAGAAATTGGACTTATTTTTAAAAAAGTTAAAGTATTGTGGAATAATTTTTCAAAGATGGGAGAAGTGGGATCGCCCTACTATCCACGATTTCCTGGTTACACCACAAGTACATTGCATCACATGTTGGTTTTATTATTATTATACATAGGTCAGTCAATAAGTTCTCGGACTTTCAAATATTTACTCATAGAAAAAACATTTGGCTAATCTTTTTATAGTAAATGCTCGAAGTAGTCCCCGTGATACTCAATACAAAGTTTCATCCTTTCAATCCACTTCTGAAATGTCTTTTGATATTCTTGAATAGGTATTGAATTGAGCTCTTTGGATATCGCTTTAGCTAAACTTGTAGCATCTGGATATGTATCAAGGCTACGTTTCAGACAATTGAATAACCAAAAGTCTGAAGGGGCAAGGTCAGGTGAATATGATGGATGAGCCATAACTTTGATTTTTTCTTGTTTAAGATAATTAAAAAGAATATCATTCATATGTGGTTTTGCATTATCATGATGCAATTTAACGTGAGTTGCTATTGATGATGGTCTTATCTTGTGTAATGCTTTAATTAAGCTTTTAAACATTCATCACGATAATATATTACATTGACTGATGTTCGAGAAGGTACCTGATGAATAAGTAATGGTCCATTTGTCATAAAAAAAATAATGAACATTGTTTTTTCTTCGAATAGTTGTCTTCTAACTGCAGTTGGAGTACTTTCTTCTTTTCCTACCCATGCGTTAGATTGTTGTTTTGATTTAATTTTTCGATGATAAAACCAACTTTCATCACCTGTTACTATATTACATGGCCGCCATGCACCACTTTCAAATTTTTGTAAATTTTCAAGACAAATATCAATACGCTGTTGTCGTTGTTGTTGATTGAGTTTATGAGGTACCCATCTTGACGATATCCTTCTTAAGCCAAGATGTTGCTTGAGAATAGTATCTACACTACCATGTGATATATCTAAGATGGTAGCAATATAATCAATACTAATATGTGGATCATCATTCACGAGGTCTTTAACAGCATCAATATTTTGTTGAGTAATTATGGATAACGGACGACCACTTCGAGGATCATCGTCCAACGACTCCCGTCAACTTAAAAATCGATCAATCCAACGAGCAACTGTACTCTGGTACTGGTTTTTTTGATCAGCCGAAATAAAAGAAACTTATTCAGTTGAAACGGTCATCACGAAGGTGAACGATAAGTGGGATCTGGAAACCAGTATGTATATTATCGACTTTCAAAGTACAAATCAAGACAAAAATCATGAGGCACTAGAATCATTAAAAGCTCTTCTTAATACAAGAGAAACAAAGGTTGTCAATGCTCAATCAGGCATTGGATCATTCTTAAATTTTTTATTGAAAACACTTCTAGATTAAAAATTTTGTTACTTCACAATGACAATCTTAGAAAATCTAAATATAAGCATATCTGAAAATTGTATTGAAATAAATTCTCAATAAGAAAATATGACTGTAAGACTTCATTTATGCATAGGATGTGTTCCGACCGGCGTATCAAGAGAGTGATCCTCCAATCTTAAAAAACTTTCGTTTGTCTTCGACGAAGTTACAGCATTCTATTATTTTTCTTCCTCATCTACTCCTAATAAACGCTCAACATCCGGCCCAAATTCAATAAACTTTAGCAGATATTTTTCAATCGGCCACCTGAATCATGGCTTCCCGCCTTTCCTCAATCTTCGCTGCCTCAGAACGCCCCTGTTTATGTAATATGTGTTGGTTCAAGCTTGAAGGAAGAAAATTTAATCTACTGTGATATCGCTTGTAATTCATCATAATAGTTTATTAAACAGAAAATATTTATAACAATTTATTTTAATACAGGATCTTGAGTAAAATACGAAGATTGTGTCCGAATTATTCCAACGTTTTGTGATCAGAATGAATATCTTCATACTCTATACGGCTATGAAACAACTGGTCTATTGATAACTTATTTTAATGCAGACAAATCAACTGTATTTCTCAATTTATGTACTACTAATGCTACATTGGACAAAATTATCAAAAATTTTATATTGCTTGATATTTTTCTACTATCTACCTCTGATCTAACAGCAGCTAATAAAAGTTATTTAGCATAAGATATCTTAAAACTAGAAAATCAGGTACCACCTTTGCATATTTTAACAAGTAGCGCGACGTTAGCGTCGCTAACCCTCTACTGAAAGAATATGGTTGCGTTAAACACAACAATTCGATGTGCCTGCCTGAGAAATTTTGTGTAGTGATTGTGTGCGAGACATTGTAACGAGAGAGAGAAACGATGAGCATGCAAAAAGTAGAAAATCTGTTGGCATATATCATCAAGAAATATGTGCTTAAGTACTATCTGT